TCCCTGGGCAAGGAATCCGACCTCCATTTTACAGAGCAGTAAACTCAAATATAGTAAGGTTAAGTGAACTACCCAAAGTATCAGAGATTCAGTGGCAGACCTAGGAATACATGACAAGGAGTCCTGATTCCTAAACCCCTGCTCTAACCACTAGATACTCACAAAGACTATGTCTACACTGCATGCTTCTTTTGGCAGCGTGTAGAGTATGTACTCAGGTAGTGCCCAGCACGGGTTTAAGTATCAGTGTAGACTGTGAGGCACAGTTTAGGCAACTAGAGTACAGACACTTCTGAAGGGTACCCGAGTACATACTATACATGGCTCTCTACTAGCCCAAACCATGTAGAGTCCTGCTGCCTCCCAGCTGTTGGAGCCTTTCCCCACCACAGGAAAAGACTCTAGCAGCTGGGAAAGGCACCAGCAGTGGGGAAAAGCTCGGCGGGGGGAGAGGGGGAAGAGTGGCAACAAGGAAAGGCTCCAGCAGCTCCCTGCTGGCTAGAGCCCTTCCCCACCACAGGGAAAGACTCTGGCAGTGGGAAAAGACTCTGGCAAGGGGGAGGCAGTGGGGAAAGGCCACACTGTCATGTGTAGGTACACAGACTGCATACGCCACTGAAAGTGATGTGTAGTGTATATGTAGCCTTATGGACTGATCCAAAGCTTTCCACTGACTTCAGTGGATATTGTACAGCACTTCTATGCTTCAGAAGAAGATAAAAATCTCCCTCAAATGAACCTGTCTAACCCATCCCAACTGCCCCATGCCATATCACAGATAAGAGGAGAGGGAGAAGGGAATTCTTCCTAGCTCTAGATGGTGATCAGATTTATACAAAGCCCATGCAGGTTTTATCTTAGCTACTACAGTGTAACAACCACAGATAGCATTCTTAATTGTAAGGGCCTGAACCTCCTGGGAATCTTACTAAGCTATCTGTCTCAATAATCATGTGAGCCATTTATATGCAGACTCTATAAAACCTAATTCACAATCATTAAGTTCTTGGTCAAAACCTCAGTGCATACAGTACTGTACCATCTTTATACTATACTATCCAATATAAATAATTGTTTGAGTACTGATATTACTGTAGTATTATGGTGCTAAATCTAGTGACTGATTTTGATGGTAGCACTGTGGAGTGATTAGACCACAGCACAAGAACTCAGGATGCCTGGGGCATATTCCTGACTGTGCCACTTAGTCGCTAGGTGGCTTTGGAGACGTCACTTCACCTTTCTGTGCCTTTGTTTGCCCAACTGTAAAATGCGGATAATAAAGCTTAGTCACCTATGTGAGTTCAGTATCCAAGTGCAAAGTCTTAATAGCAAGAGAAGATAAATGGTAAGAGCAGGATACAAACAATTATACAGACATCCTGCGCAATCAGAAATGACTATTTCATTTCTTTAAAAAAAAAAAAAGAAATTTAAGGATAGCAAATTTTTTTTTTTTTAAGAACATTCCATGTTATTTGACTTACTAAAAACAAAACAAAACTGGATTTTTGACTGATAATTGATAGCTGTCTCAATTTTCAATCAAAATGTCAGCAGCACCTTTACTGTAAATATATATGGTAATAATGATTACATTAAAGCGCTTCTAAAAGTTTAGATTGAAAATTTGGATAAATAAATACACAACCAACCACCCCCCCACCCACCCACCACTACATTCTGGCAAAAAAATGTATACATTGATGCCTACAATTAGGCATCAAATTAGATGTCTCATTTTCAGAGGAGCTCAGCACCTGGAGCTCTCTTTAAATTGGGCAAAAAGTTTGGCTACTAATCTACTGCAGGTACGGGGATGTGTTCAAAAATTCCCCAGGACGCTAAAAATTTCAAAGCCTTTTTGTGAACCTCAGGACAAGCCCCGCCTAAAAAGAATGTGCAAAAGTGACTTCATGGCTTCTTTCTTTTAAGAGAGAAACCTCTGCTTGTGCACTTTCCCCAATTTCCTGGATGATATATAACCTGATGCGTAACACCAGTTTGCATAAAACCAGATGCTTTACACAGGATCCCATAATGTAAAAGGACAAGCATGACCTGATATATCATATTACTGGGGGAATTCAATGAAATACAGTTTTCTAAAAGTGTGACATTTTCAAGCACAGAAAAGATACTGTCTGTGTGATAATATATAAAACACCATATCTCACTATCTGGATAAAAAAAATTACTCTAGGTTCAGTGTCTATTTACTTAATTTTGTCTTCAACTTCTTCTTACTTCACCTTTGTATCTCCAAGTATGGTATTTTCCTAACTTTTCTTATTGTTATTGAAAAAACACTGCACTGAATCTGGTCCCTAGCAATCTGGCCAAAGAAATGGATGTTCCATTTCAGAAGACTTGATGGTACGTGTGATCTGTTTTCCCTGACTTCAGGAGATTGTGCATATCACCATTTGCTTTTTCATTTGTAAAATAAACAATTTATGCAATGTTCCATTTTAATATACCTCTTGGTAACTTGATTCCAAAGGATGATGATGACTGAACCATTTTTTAATTGTGTTTTCCTTCAATGGTCCTATCAATCCAGACTCCCTGTGGATCTTGGCTAGAGTTGTAGCATCTGACACCATCTGCACTAGTCCTAATCAGAGAGAAGGAGTTCACATGAAAAACTCACAATTTTAAAAAGAGGCAGAGTGTTTATTAATCTGCATCGCACTGTATCATATTACCCCATGGAGAGAATTATACACACATTTCAATTAACCATAAAAGTCTACATGGTATTAGATGATCTAGAAAAAGGAAGATTGGGAGCTTCTCTTCACCCTGCCTCATAAAACAAGAACAAAGGGCTATTCAATGAAATTAAAGATAACAAATTAAAAACTGATCAATGGAAATGCTTTTCCACACAATGCACAACTAGATTGTGGAGTTCACTGCCAAATGACATCATGGAGCCCAATAATTTAGCAAGATTCAAAGCATTGGGAGGATAAAGATTGTGAGGTGCTCAGATACTCTGGTCATGGGGGCCAAAGAAGTACCTAAAATAGACAGACATCCAGGGTTTATTCTCATGCCCGCCCTGAATCCTTTAAAAAATATCAAATTGAGGGTTAGTGTAACGGAGAGAAACTAATTATAGCATCTTCCTTCTCCAGATATAATATTTTATGGTTACTTTTTGAAGGGGAATCTTTCTGGTTCTGCCTTGTTCATGGAAAGAAAGGATGAAGAGAATCCCTTTCCAGTTCCCATCAACCACCTGCCACATCCCTGAATCCGCCATGGGTCCTGCCGGCCTCCCATTCCCCAAACTTTCTCTGCTCAAAAGGCCGAAAATGCTGTATTTTTCATTTCTGTACTGTAGGTAATCTGGATGCTTCAGCTCTTTATTGTGCTAGAATTATTTTCAGTAAAAAAGTCTATTGCCATCAGTAAATTTCTTTAGCAAGTAATTGGCATCTTTGCTATGGCTTTGTTACAACAACCATAAAAGAAAGGAATAAATAAAGCTTTCATATGAGCCAAGCTTGCCTTAAGCAGTATGAGCAGCAAGGGTGGTATTTCAAACAACACTGGGAGGTTTCTGGAACTTTATTAGTCTATGGGCAAAACCTAAATAAGGGCCAGATTTGCAAAGGAGCTCAGCACCCAGTAATTCCCACTGCAACACTTCTGATCAGGTTTTCAGAAGTTCTTATTTGCTGCCTAAATGGGAGGTTTTCTTGAGAGTCCAAGACCAGTTGTGAATGCCAAGGCTTTAAATTCAGGCCTGGGTTGCTACAAAACTTCACTAGCTTGGGTTCTATTTCTTCTGAAGGGGGAAAAAAAAAAGTTAACCTCAATCTACAAAGATGTTTAGAACCCAACTGAGGGTGGTTCTGAGCACTCTTTTCCCTCAAAGGGGAAAAAGAAAAGACACTTTCAAAAAGAAATACTGAAGGGAGGAGTGCTGTTGTATTACTGGTTTACATGAGATATGAATAATGTAATACATGCATCCTTTCTAATCTGTACTGACCTTGGCCTTTTCCTGTAGATAAACACTTATAAATGATCATTTGCATATCAAGTCCCTCCTGAAGCCAAATTCTGTCCATCACACGAATAATCTGCAGAACCAGCATATCCTGACGTAGATCATCTCCCACCTGTGAAAAGGGCATGTGAAATTTGAGTTTCTCCTTGAATCCCAAAGAGAGACACTTTTCTCTCTCTTTTGGATTTTTTCCAGGCCAAAAGCCCCAGCTACCTTCATTTTACAGTAAGTCCCTGCAGTTTTGCTCGAAGTGTTCATACTATATCAGAAGGAAGAAAGAATGGGATGACTTATACAGACAAGAAGTGTTTTGGTAACCACACTAACGGTACCATATGCCCTTTTGCCTGCTGCAACCTTTCAGTTTATTACTCACATGGAAATTACTGGTCTTTCACATGCAGTCGGGAGCTTGGATCCTTGTTTAGTTAAATTTCAAAATCCATCCAATAGCAGATCCCTTTTCAGGAATGAGAGTACAAGTATTTGGCCTGACACTACACATCACAACTCAGTATTTCTAGCAGGCTACAGGGCAACCTTATTACACGTACAAATGGTTTCCCTGACACGATTCAGAACCAGTTTCAATCAGCATTTTCTTGCTGACTGCTCCCCACATGGAGTCTGTTGAACAACAATCTTAGAGAAATCGGCCTTTGCGTCTTGTAATTAATGAAGGGATTATTTTCTACCGTAGCTGGGTAAATAGCCCATAAAACAAAAGCTCTGCTATTCATCCCCTCCTCCTCAATGTCTAAATTGCATCTGGATTTTACTGGTATTTTCAAGCCTTCATCAGGAAAGTCTTTCATAAATTGTAAGCTTTAGTTACATTACAATGATTTGTTCCTTTATTATGTTCCTTTTACAGAAGCATCCTAGTCTACAGGCATTTAATGAGAGGACATCAATTTCTCCCTATCTTTTTAAAAATCCATTTCCCTTTTGTTTACAGCTAATCTTGATTCCAATTAATTATGCTCAGCAGCCAGACCTGAAGAGAATTTTTCCTGTGTTTGCTCACCACGGTTCGAAACAACAGTTACCATTTTATTTAAGCATTATCTATTACAAATAATGAAGCATATTATGAGCCAAATTATGGTTGCTGCTACATCGGTATGCTGGATAGGAGAAGGTGCAGGGAACTTCATAACACTATTGGCATCACTGCCAGTGTTCATTGTCCCAGAGGTGTACGTTGGGTGGGATGACGAGGCACCTGCCTCTCCTTCCACTTTAAGCCACTGGTTTGTTATGTAAGTAGTGCCAGGTATACAGCTTTTCCAAAGGTGACAAAGGCAGATGAGTGTGCTTCCTCCAGTGTGGCCAGAAATGATATTCCTGTTCCTGGGCCATATGTGCATAAAATGCAAATTTCACCCTGGTGGTGTCTGTAGCATGCAATTTTTAGGCTTCTGTTTTCTGACTAGGGCACTTTCTAATTTCTAAGAACTACCCCTTAACCCTTTGCTTGGAGGCAGCAACCATTTTGTGCTCTTCAGGTTGCTGTGGTCCGTACAGAGAGCGCTCTCTCTCTCTCTCTCTCTCTCTCACACACACACACACACACACACACACACACACACACACACCCACACACCCCCACACACACACACCGTGCTTTCTCAAGGAGGCTTTCCTATTGTTGTTTCTCTTAATCTGAAACAGAAGTAATTTTAGACTGAAGGCAGATGTTTTTTCTCTTTGTGTATGGAAACATGACAATCCTGGGCTTACTTCCAAATACAGCAATGGATTATGCCAGCAATTAATCCATCCCAATACCATTATTAAGGAGGTGTACCTCCTCTATCATTCCACAACATGATTGCCACGGGGTGATGCTCTCCAGCACACCCCTTGTGGCCGCTCATGGTCCTAAAGGTATGTTGCACTTAGCAACCATTCAAGATTCTTTCAATCAATTACCCTGACTAGATTGGTTCAAAACAGGTACTCCCTCTCTCAGGGATGCAACCAAAATTTTCCTAAGATGGGAATCCAGAGCTCTCCCTCCATTGCCCTGAATCCAGTCCCACACCTCGCCTCCACCCCCGAACTCTCCCCTGCCGCTTCCTAATACCCAGTCCTGAGCAGTCTCATGCTGCCTTGGCACCCAGATCCGTGCTCTTCCTCTTGCATCCAGCTCCACAAAAACTCTGCTCGTGCTGCCCCACACCCAGCCCAGTGCTCTTCCCCCCACATTGATCTGCCCCCAGCCCTGAGATCTCCCTCTTGCACCCAGCCCTACTCTGCTTTTCCCTGGGGACTGGGAGGGCCTGGCATTCATGGGTGCCAGAAGGACTGAGAAAACAAAGGGCCCAAGCAGGCACACAGGGTTTCAAGGCCACTCAAATTTGGCCCAGCCACCCCTCATCATGCCAGCAGGGAAGAGGCTGTACTGTTATACCACCCAGCTTTGGTCAGGGACTAAGTGTGTGTGTGTGTGTGTGGGGCGGGGGCTGGGCCTCCTGCCCTCCCCCACTGCCACCCTTAGCCAGCTTCTTCCTCAGCTGGCCCTTTCCCCCCAGTTAGGCCTCAGGTGCAGGGTGTTCAGCAGGGTGTCTTCTCCTGCTAGTGGTGCCCTGCTAGAACATAAGGGAGGAGGTAGCTTTTGTGCCAGTCCCTTTCCTAAAACCCAATTGGCTGGGTGAGAAGGGAGCCTCTCTCAACTCTTTGCAAGGCTCCTGGCCCCAGGCCTTTAAAGACACAGGGACAGGATTTCCTCCCAAGCACCATTCATTCCCAGGACCGGTTCCTCTCTCTAACTATCTCCTGAGTCGTTGTATATACATCAGACCTTTCCAAATCTTAAAGGGCCATGCCACATGATGGGAATGGGCTGATCCCTTGGCACCACTACTCCATCACATTGACTCTGACTTGGAAAGCCAGAATTGAGTCCTATATGTTTTGTGCCAAATGCAGTCTTCAGCATGGTAGTATTTTATCTGCTAGACAGGGCTACTGTACAATTAAGTCCTTTCCTTGAACAGTTATTTCTCTGGACTTTGTCCTTAGACCTCAAGAAGGTAAATACACTATGTTATCCTTTACTGTTTAGCCTGAGTTAAAAGCACACATTGTTTTCCTAGAATGCATTTGATTTTCTACCAATCAAAAACTTGGATGCTTTAATATATTTCCTTAATATACTGTACTTAAAGGTCTAGCATCAAATAGGATTATGAAAACTGAGCAGCACAGCCAAATCAAACACCTCAGGCTCAAGATCTGAAGCCTTCCCTTTCAATGAGTATTAAATTAACATTTTGCATTCAAAATTAACTGTGGGTTATTAGTATGAATAACCTACCTTAAAAATAACATTGATGTTTCTACTCAGTGTCTCTGTATTGATGAAGGAGATTTTCAATGGAAAAGCATTGGATGTGAAATATGAACATGCCTTTAGAAAAAAAATGATACACACATAAAATATAGTATACTATAGGCTAAAAGCAGTAGAACATTTCCCTGAGACGATGTGGTGTCTTGAAGTATTTATCAGCAGTACGGGTAACAAAAATAAATAGTCCTCGATATTAGAGACAGTTGAACTGGTTCAGAAAAGAAGAATCTCTACCATCATATTCAAACTTCTTAAAGGTTCTGAAATGCTCAGGTAATCTTTTTTCTACGACTATTTTTTATTTTCCCCAGGCCATTTAGTGCTACATTTTGGCTGGGACTGGAAAGACCAAAGTGATGCAAGGCAGACCCAATCAAAAGCTGCAATGCAGTTGTGAACACTGCGATCTAAAGATCTTTTTTGTCTTATGTTGTCAGTGGGTAGCCTGATCCTGCAATCCTTATGGAGGCAAATCATCCATTAATTTTAATGGGTCTCTAAGCCTGGGTGAGGAGTGCACCAAATTCCAATCATCATAATCTACATTATTTGGAGCCTATTTTAAACCCTGACCGTTGGCATCATATAGCGCCTTCCACCTGAAGATCTCAAAAGGCTTTTAAAACCATTAATGAACTAAGCTTTGAAAACCCCTGTGAGTTAGGTGAGTATTATTATCACCACTATAAAAAGAGAAAAACCGAGAAAGACAAATCAATGGCCTGCTTTTCAGAAATAATAAGCACCCCACAGCTCCCATTAAAATCAGCACTGGGCGTATGCAAGGGTGGAAAATTTGAAGAAAAATTATAATATAGACAGCTATATATTGTCTTTCATCCAGGGATCTCAAAGTATGTTAGAAACATTACTTAAGCCTCTTTACACGCATGTGAAGTCTGGGAACTATATATTATACTATGTTACAGATGAATAAATTTGAGGCACAGATGGTGAAATCCTGACTGCACTGAAATCAACAGGAGTTTTTCTTCAATGGGGCAAGGATTTCACTCAGAGTGACTGAAAGATTTTGCCAAAGGTTAATGTACAATAATACACCAGTGGCCGAGCTGGAAAAGGATCCTGGATGCTTGACTCTTAGGCCTGGTCTACACTACGAGTTTAGGTCGAATTTAGCAGCGTTAAATCGAATTAAGCCTGGACACGTCCACACGACGAAGTCCTTTTTTTCGACTTAAAGGGCCCTTTAAACTGGTTTCTTTACTCCACCTCCGACGAGGGGATTAGCGCTAAAATCGGCCTTTGCAGGTCGGATTGGGGTAGTGTGGACGGAATTTGACATTATTGGCCTCCGGGAGCTATCCCACAGTGCTTCATTGTGACCGCTCTGGACAGCACTCTCAATTCAGATGCACTGACCAGGTAGACAGGAAAAGCCCCGCGAACTTTTGAATTTCATTTCCTGTTTGCCCAGCGTGGAGAGCACAGGTGACCACGCAGAGCTCATCAGCACAGGTAACCATGATGGAGTCCCAGGATCGCAAAAGAGCTCCAGCATGGACAGAACAGGAGGTACGGGATCTGCTCGCCATATGGAGAGACGAATCAGTGCTAGCTGAACTCCGTAGCAGTAAACGAAATGGCAAAATATTAGAAAAAGTCTCAAAGGCCATGAAGGACAGAGGCCATAACAGGGACGCAGAGCAGTGCCACGTGAAAATTAAGGAGCTAAGGCAAGCCTACCACAAAGTCAGAGAGGCAAACGGAAGGTCTGGGGCAGAGCCGCAAACATGCCGCTTCTACGTGGAGCTGCATGCCATTCTAGGGGGTGCAGCCACCACTACCCCAACCATGTGCTTTGACTTCATCAATGGAGAATCACGCAACAGGGAAGCGGGTTCGGGGTACGAGGAAGATGATGATGAAGACAATGAAGATAGCTCACAGCAAGGAAGCGGAGAAACCAGTTTCTCCAACAGCCAGGATATGTTTATCACCCTGGACCTGGAACCAGTAACCCCCGAACTCACCCAAGGCGTGCTCCCAGACCCTGAGGGCACACAAGGGACCTCTGGTGAGTGTACCTTTGTAAATATTACACATGGTTTAAAAGCAAGCGTGTTTAATGATTAATTTGCCCTGGCAATCGCGGCCAGTACAGCTACTGGAAAAGTCTGTTAACGTGTATGGGGATGGAGCGGAAATCCTCCAGGGACATCTCCAGAAAGCTCTCCTTCATGTACTCCCAAAGCCTTTGCAAAAGGTTTCTGGGGAGGGCTGCCTTATCCCGTCCATCATAGTAGGACACTTTACCCCGCCAGGCCAGTAGCACGTAGTCTGGAATCATTGCATAACAAAGCATGGCAGCGTATGGTCCCGGTGTTTGCTGGCATGCAGACAACATCCATTCCTTATCTCTCTTTGTTATCCTCAGGAGAGTGATATCATTCACAGTCACCTGGTTGAAATGGGGTGATTTTATTAAGGGAACATTCAGAGGTGCCCGTTCCTGCTCGGCTGAACAGAAATGTTTCCTGCTGTTAGCCACGTGGTAGGGGGGAGGGGTGAAGTGATCATCCCAGTGAATTGGGTGGGGGGGGGTAGTTGGGTTTGTGCTGCATGTTAACCTGGAAACCATAGCCCCTCCTTTTACATTGCAAACCCATTTTAAATGGCCAACCCAACGGGTGCTTGGTATGGGAAATGTGGACGCTACTGTTTGAAACCATTCCCACATGTTATGAAGGTTAAAAAAGCCAAAAGACTGTGGCTTACCATGGCTGCCTCCAAGCCGAAATCTGTTGCCTGGCACTGCGTGAGTGATCTCTCACACCAAACCGGCAAGCCCTCAATATAAGAGAAAAAATACGACCTTGTAACGAAAGCACATGTGCTGTGTAATGTGAACAGCAAAATTTAACGTGAAAGAGTGTACCCATTGTTCTCTAAAATGTGTCTTTTTTAACCACCTCTCCCTTCTCCTCCACCAGCTGCAAATGTTTCTCCTTCACAGAGGCTAGTGAAGATTAGAAGGAGAAAACGGCGGACTCGGGATGATATGTTCTCGGAGCTCCAGATTTCCTTCCATGCTGACAGAGCACAGCAGAATGCGTGGAGGCAGTCAATGTCAGAGTGCAAAAAAGCACAATATGAACGAGAGGAGAGGTGGTGGGCTGAATCGCGGGCTGAAGAGAGCAAGTGGCGGGCTGAAGAGGATAGGTGGCATCACCTTGCTGACAGAAGGCAAGAGTCGATGCTCCGGCTGCTGGAGCATCAAACTGATATGCTCCAGCGTATGGTTGAGCTGCAGGAAAGGCAGCAGGAGCAGAGACCGCCGCTACAGCCCCTGTGTAACCAACAGCCCTCCTCCCCAAGTTCCATAGCCTCCTCACCCAGATGCCCAAGAACGCGGTGGGGGGGCCTCCGGCCACCCAGTCACTCCACCCCAGATGATTGCCCGAGCATCAGAAGGCTGGCCTTCAATAAGTGTTAAAGTTTTAAACTGCAATGTGTCCTTTTCCTTCCCTCCTTCCCCACCCCTCCCGGGCTACCTTGGCAGTTATCCCCCTAGTTGTGTGATGAATTAATAAAGAATGCATGAATGTGAAGTAACAATGACTTTATTGCCTCTGCAAGCGGTGCTCGAAGGGGGGAGGGGAGGGTGGTTAGTTTACAGGGAAGTAGAGTGAACCGGGTGGGGGGGGCGGAGGGTTCATCAAGGAGAAACAAACAGAAGTTTCACACCTTAGCCTGGCCAGTCACAAAACTCGTTTTCAAAGCTTCTCTGATGCGCACCGCGCCCTGCTGTACTCTTCTAACCGCCCTGGTGTCTGGCTGCGCATAATCAGCGGCCAGGCGATTTGCCTCAACCTCCCACCCCGCCATAAATGTCTCCCCCTTACTCTCACAGATATTGTGGAGCGCACAGTAAGCAGCAATAACAAGTTGAACAGGTCCTGACTACTGTCCAGGCTGCCTGTGTATGGCTTCATGAGCCATGGCATTAAGGGGTAGGCTGGGTCCCCAAGGATAACGATAGGCATTTCAACATCCCCAATGGTTATTTTCTGGTCCGGGAATAAAGTCCTTTCCTCCAGCTTTTGAAACAGACCAGAGTTCCTGAAGACGCGAGCATCATGTACCTTTCCCGGCCATCCCACATTGATGTTGGTGAAACGTCCCTTGTGATCCACCAGGGCTTGCAGCAGCATTGAAAAGTACCCCTTGCGGTTTATGTACTCGGTGGCTTGGTGCTCCGGTGACAAGATAGGGATATGGGTTCCGTCTATCGCCCCACCACAGTTTGGGAATCCCATTGCAGCAAAGCCATCCACTATGACCTGCACGTTTCCCAGAGTCACTACCCTTGATATCAGCAGGTCTTTGATTGCCCTGGCAACTTGGATCACAGCAGCCCCCACAGTAGATTTGCCCACTCCAAATTGATTCCCGACTGACCGGTAGCTGTCTGGTGTTGCAAGCTTCCACAGGGCTATCGCCACTCGCTTCTCAACTGTGAGGGCTGCTCTCATCCTGGTATTCTGGCGCTTCAGGGCAGAGGAAAGCAAGTCACAAAGTTCCATGAAAGTGCCCTTAAGCATGCGAAAGTTTCGCAGCCACTGGGAGTCGTCCCACACCTGCAACACGATTCGGTCCCACCAGTCTGTGCTTGTTTCCTGGGCCCAGAATCGGCGTTCCACGGCATGAACCTGCCCCAGTAACATCATGATTTGCACATTGCTGGGGCCTGTACTTTGTGAGACGTCTATGTCCATGTCAATTTCCTCATCACTCTCGTCGCCGCGCTGCAATCGCTGCAATCGCCTCCTCGCCTGGTTTTGCTTTGGCATGTTCTGGCTCTGCATATACTCCAGGACAATGCGCGTGGTGTTCATAGTGCTCATAATTGCCGCGGTGATCTGAGCGGGCTCCATGATCCCAGTGCTATGGCGTCTGGGCTGAAAAAAGGCGCGAAACTATTGTCTGATGGAGGAAGGGAAGGGCGAGTGACGACATGGCTTACAGGTACAGGGAATTAAAATCAACAAAGGTGGCTGTGCATCAGGGAGAAACACAAACAACTGTCACACAGAATGGCCCCCCCAAAGATTGAACTCAAAACCCTGGGTTTAGCAGGCCGTTGATTTCACGGAGAGAGGGGGAAGCAAATGAATACAGAACAAATCTGGTCCATCTATTTTTTACATCTTACGCTGGCAGCAGACGGTGCAGCATGACTGATAGCCATCGGCATCTTCTGGGTGCTTGGCAGAAGATGCTGTACTACGACTGCTAGCCATCATCGTCAAGACGGTTCAATAGGACTGCTGGCAGGACTGAGTCTCCAGGAGACAAAACATGTCTGCCCAGGTGCCTCTGACCGAACTCACTGAGGAATACGATGACAATGGATACCAGTCTACTACCAAAAGGCAATTAGCTGCTGCTGTATAGCAATGCAGTACCACGTCTGCCAGCACCCAGATGACATATGGTGACGGTGAGCTGAGCTGAGCTGAGCGGGCTCCATGCTTGCCGTGGTATGTTGTCTGCACAGGTAACCCAGGTAAAAAGGCGCGAATCGATTGTCTGCTGTTGCTCTGACGGAGGGGGAGGGGCCTGACGACATGTACCCAGAACCCCCCGCGACACTGTTTTTGCATCATCGGGCATTGGGATCTCAACCCAGAATTCCAATGGGCGGCGGAGACTGCGGGAACTGTGGGATAGCTACCCACAGTGCAACGCTCCAGAAGTCGACGCTAGCCTCGGTACTGTGGATGCGGTCCGCCGAATTAATGCACTTAGAGCATTTTATGTGGGGGGACACACAATCGACTGTATAAAAGCGATTTCTATAAAACTGGCTTCTATAAATTCGACCTAATTTCGTAGGGTAGACATACCCTTAGTTTAACCAGTAGACAATGCTGAAATGAATGATGGTTTGATTATTAGGAGTATTCTAAAAATGTTAGAGTTCATGAAATATAACATGCATTTCAGTCTGGTGGCTGCAGACAAAGAACAATTGATATAAGAAATTGAATACATACACACACATCAATCAAGATTCAGTGTCAGTCAAGCCAATCTGGTGTGGTATCAATAGCTCAATTGGATAGTTAGAGACCTCCCCAATAGTCAGGAGCAGCGCCAGGGTTTTTGGCGCCCTAGGCAGGGGTCCTTCCGTGCTCCCGGTCGTCGTCGGCAATTCTGCGGCGGGGGGGGTCCTTCTGCGCTCCTGGTCTTCGGGGCACTTCGGCGGCGGGTCCCAGAGCGAGTGAAGGACCCGCCGCAGAATTGCCGCCGAAGACCCGGAGCGCGGAAGGATCCCCCGCCGCCGAATTGCCACCCCCCTCCAAATCCTGGCGCCCTCAGCAACCGCCTAGGTCGCCTAAATGGAAGCGCCGGCCCTGCCAATAGTAATTATTCCCAGAAAGTCTGAAAGCAGTGAGAAACAGTTAGCTTGAAAATTCTTCTGATTTATGTCATCCACAATTGGCCCAGTCCAGCAGGCTGCTAAGAAGCTTCAGTGCTCATTGACATCAAGTCTGAAGAGCAATTATTGGGAGAGCCACAGGTCAAAGAAGGCTGAAGGGCTCAACTCCTCACAAGATCAGGTCCATTGTGGGTTATAGGCCACAGAGCAAAATTATAGAGCAGTGCTGTAATTATAAAGCTATAACTTAAAAAGCCCCTCAGACCTGTACATATTATATTTTCCTTGTGGCTGGGTACTTCTTCCCCCAACAACACTGAATCCTCTGGTGTGAGATTTGTATGTCATAAAACATGAATGACACAGTCCTGGCAGTCTGGTCAGTGAAATCAAACATATGAAACAATACACAAGTTTCCTCCATTCAGCAGTCGTTTTTAATAAGCATAACTTGCACAGGTAAGCACAAGTGGCTGAGTCTGCAAACATTTACCATGCAAAATCTCACAAGTTCAATGGGAGGAGGGCCAGTGCTACAGCTAAGCACTCCTCATCTCTGAAAGCTGTCAGGCCCCAGGGAGGAAAAGCTGCCAGCAAGAATCTGCATTGGTGTGGCAGCAACCAGCTGGTGCGTCAGGGGCCACTGTTAAAGAGGCAGATACCTCCTTCCCCTCAAAAGCTGCTTTGAGGAAAGCTGGGCTGGAACCATGCTAGTCACAATTTCGAGTCTCCGTTGCAGTGCTGCTGTTGTAAGGGGAGAGAGAGACACTTAAATTGGCAAATACCACCTCTCCCCCTAGCTGGGGTGAAGGCATCCATAAAGATATCAGTCCTGTGAATGGCTGCCTATGTTATGCCAATACTTAAAGGGGATACTCATAAGTAAAGATTTGCAGGATCATGACCTAGTTCATGCAACAGTTCATTCCCTAGTACTTATTACACTGAAAATAAAATAATCTATAGCGTAAAATGGACTTACATCTTCATCTATGCCTCGTACAACAAGTGCAGGATTCAGGGGAAGCCGGCAAACATTTACCTCCTGGAAGAACTGCTTAAGTTTGTTGATTTCCATCTTTAGCACCTCCTGTGAAACATCAATCATTATGACAACTTGAAACAACATCACAGCAGTTTTTTAATTGCCGACTCTCTTGATATATTTTAATAAGATAGTGAATCAAATTTCTGGTCTTAGTAATATCAATGTAACCTCATAAGAGTTACTGGGATTGCACCAGTGTGCAGTAACTGAAACTAAGAATTGTGATTGTGATCTGCATCTCTGCTCTTGTTGCCTATAGTGTCCTCCTCAGGGGCTTTTTAGCTAAGCACCTCTTGTTCTGAATAGCATTTTTTCTTATGACATTTTTCTCTAACCAAGTTCACAACGGGTGGTTTCTTGCTTCAGGACTGTTGCCTTGCCTCCCCTTTCTAAGTGTAGGTATGCCAATTACAAGGTTTGGGTTTTTCTGGCTTTACAGCCTCTTGATCGGTCTCTGAGGTCTAACTGATGTACCAAAAAGGTGTCATACACGTCTACTGCTTTCTTCTTACAATGGCATGCACAATCTTTCACTCTGCCAAATCACTGTGTCTTTTTACTTCAAAGTTTGTTTAAGTGTGGCATTCTGGTTTTGTTTTGGTGTTGGTTTGGGTTTTTGGTTTTGTTTGTTGTTTGTTTTAGGTTTTGTTTTTGTTTTGTTTTGTTTTTTTCCTTGGCAGGACTTGGCTAAGACAGATACAGAGGCAGCAGTGGTAGTGACCCAAGCACTGGAAGACACAATGAAGATGGCCAGAGATGTGGAAGCTACGGGATGTACATGGATCCTGGAGCGGGGTACCTGAAAAGTGCTTCATTTGTATGAAGTGCCGCCTGATAGAGTTGATGGAAGAGAAGATCCGAGGCTTAGAGATGCAGGTGAAAACTATGGTTGAGCAAATGATGAAACAAAGGAGGCTGAAGGGAAAAGCCAAGATTCGCAGATTCAAGCTGGACTGAAAAACTCGGTGGGGAGACTACTGGGTGAGGAAAGTGGCCAGTGGAAGCATGTGACTACAAGAACCAAGCAGAGGAAAAGATTGTCTAGCTAAGGGGAACAGGTTTGCGGAGTTGGAAAATGAAGAAGGGGCAGAGTCAGGCTGTAACTGAAGGAGGGAGAACAAGGAAGAAGAGAAGAGCAGCTAGTCCTGTAAGTCCTACAGGAAGAGGGGAAGAGCCAATGGAGATACCCAGAGTTCAGAGCCCCAAGAGGATACAGGAAGACTCGTAGAAGATTGCAAGGGAAAATAAAAGACAAGAGGACTCTCAGCCAGAAAGAACAGGAGGAAGGCCGGAGAATCACACCATCACCAGGAAAAGGCAGGTCTATGTGATTGGTGACTCCCTGCTAAAAAAAACAGTCAGGTCTGTCACCAGAGCTGATCCAAAGAACAGAAGGGTGTGTGTGCTGTCTGCCAGGAGCTAAGATACAGGATGTGGACCTGAGTATGAAGAGGATACTAATGGGAGCAGGAAAGAATCTACTGATTGTCCTTTATGTGGGAACAAACGATCCTGTTAGATTCTCCCTGGAACATATCAAGGGAGACTATGCCAGGCTGGGGAATATGCTTAAGGAAATGAAGGCTCAGGTGATCTTCAGTGGGATTCTGCCTGTCCCTAGAGGAGGAGACGATTATGATGATCATCAGATGGCTCAGGCAGTGGTGCTATAAGGAGGACTTTGGGATGTCTGACCACTGAGAGGCATTCAAGGACAGAGGACTGTTCTCATGGGATGGACTCCACCTGAGTAGGGAGGGAAATAGATTTCTGGGATGGAGATTAAAGCTCTTTTAATCAATTGTGCCAAAGTAGGAATTCAGGGGAGATGGTTTGGAAATGCTCATGTAATCTCCATGCCTGATTCTAACATTGAAAGGGAGGAAAATCAAGTAAGAAAGGAAACAGCAATGGAGAATGGACATTAAGAGGAAGGATAGTGCTGATACCAGTCATATAGGTGACACTGGCAGTAGAATGATTATACTCAATTGGGCAAGGAATGTCGGTGAAGCCAAGCAGCAACAATTAAGATGTTTCTACACCAATGTAAGGAACCTGGGTAACAAAATGGAGGAACTAGCACTACTGGTGTAGGAAGTGAAACCAGATATTATGGGGTTAACAGAAACATGGTGGAATAGTAGTCATGACTGGAGTACAGGTATTAAAGGGTATGTGCTGTTTAGGAAAGACTGTCGGAAGACAGGATACTGGGCTAGATGGACCTTTGGTCTGACCCAGTAGGGCCATTCTTATGTTCTTATGACAGAAAAAGGCAAAGATAGTAGACTAGCATTGTATATTAATAATGAGGTAGACTGTAAAGAAATTAGAAGTGATGGAATGAATAAGACAGGATCTGTTTGGGCCAAAATCACTTTGGGGAAGAAAGCTACTAGTGGTTCCCTGGGATAGTGCTTGGGGTGTGCTACAGATCCCCAGGATCCGATTTGGATATGAAAAGAGACCTCTAATGTTTTTAATAAATAAATACTACTGGGAATTGTGTGATTATAGGACACTTTAACTTTTCACATATAGATTGGAGGACAAGTGCTACTACTAATAGTAGGGCCCAGATTTTCCTGAATGTGATAGCTTACAGATTTCTTCCCCAAATAGTTGCTGAACCAAAAGGAGGTGATGCCATTTTAGATTTGGTACTGGTGAGTAGTGAGGACCGCATAGAAGAACTGGTTGTAGGGGACCACCGTGGTTCGAGTGATCATGAGCTAATTCAGTTTAAACTAAATGGAATGATAAACAAAAAATAGAACTGCAACTTGGATCCTTGATTTAAAAAGGGCTAACTTTAAAAATTAAGGCAATTAGTTAGGGAAGTGGACCGGATCTGAATGTGGAGGAGGCTTGGAATTACTTTAAGTAAAAGTTGCCGAAGCTGTCAGAAGCCTGCATCCCAAGCAAGGGGAAACAATTCTTAGGGAAGGGTTGCAGACAAAGCTGGATGAGCAAGCATCTCAAATAGGTGATTAAGAGAAAGCAGAAAGCCTACAAGGAATGGAAGATGTGGTGGATGAGCAAGGAAAGCTACCTCTTGGAGGTCAGAAAGTGTAGGGATAAAGTGAGAACTGCCAAAAGCCAAGCACAGTTGGACCTTGCAAAGGGAATTAAAACCAATAGTAAAAGGTTCTATAACTATATAAATAAGAAAACAAGGAAAGAAGAAGTGGGACCACTAAGCACTGAGGATGGGGTGGAGATTAAAGATTAACTAGGCATGGCCCAAAACCTAAACAAATACTTTGCCTCAGTTTTTAATGAGGCTAGTGAAGAGTTTAGGGGTTGTGGCAGGGTGGCTCATGGCAATGAGGATACAGAGGTAGAAATTACCACAACCAAGGTGGAAGTCAAATTCAAACAGCTTAATCAGACTACATCGGAGGGCCTGGAAAATCTCCATCCCAGCATATTAAAGGATGATGAAATTTCAAGTCCAATAGCAAGGATTTTTAATGAATTTGTATACTTGGGGGTCATATCCTATGACTGAAGAATTGCTAATATAGTTCCTATTTTTAAGAAAAGGAAAAAAAAATTGATCTGGGAAACTACAGGCTTGCTAGTTTGACCTCAATAGTATGCAAGCTCTTGGAACAAATTTTGAAAGAGAAAGTAGTTAAGGACATAGAGGTAAACAGGAATTGGGATAAAATACAAAATGGTTTGACAAAAGATAGATTGTGCTAGACCAACCTGACCTCCTCCTTTGAGAAGATAACTGATTTTTTTAGACAAAGGAAATGCAGTAGATCGAATCTACCTGGATTTCAGTAAGGCATTTGCTACAGTTCCACATGGGAAATTATTAGTTAAATTGGAGAAGATGGGGATTAATATGAGAATTGAAAGGTGTAATAAGGAACTGGTTAAAGTGGAGACAATGGGTCACACTGAAAGGTGAACTGACATGCTGGAAGGCAGTTACTAGTCGAGTTCCTCGGGGACTGGTCTTGGGACCAATCTTATTTAACATTTTTATTAATGACCTTGGCACAAAAAGTGGGAGTGTGCTAATAAAATTGCAGATGACACAAAAGTTGTGAGGTATTGCCAATATAGAGGAGAACTGGATTATCAGACAAGAAGATCTGGATGATCTCATAAACTGGAGTAATAGAAATGGGACGAAATTTAATAGTGCTATGTCATGCTTTTAGGGACTAACAACAATAATTTTTGCTATAAGATGGGGAAGTATCAGTTGGAAGTGACAGAGGAAGAGAAAGCCCTGGGTGTATTGGTTGATCACAAGATGACAATGTGATACGGCTAGGAAAAAGGCTAATGCAGTCCTAGGATGCATGAGGCGAGGTATTTCCAGTAGAGATAGGGAAATGTTAATACCATTATTCAAAGCACTGGTGAGACCTCATCTGGAATATTGTGTGCAGTTCTGATCTTCCAAGTTGAAGAAAGATGGAACAGGTGCAGAGAAGGGTTACTAGGAGATCTGAGCAATTGAATACCAATCTTATGAAAGGAGACTCAAAGAGGTTGGCTTGTTTAGCATAACCAAAAGAAGGCTGAGGGGAGATATGATTGCTCTCTATAAATACATCAGAGGGATAAATACCAAGGAGGGAGAGGAGTTATTGAAGTTAAGTGCCAATGTGGACACAAGAACAAATGGATATAAACTTGCCCATCAACAAGTTTAGGCTTGAAATTAGGCAAGGTATCTAACCATTAGAGGAGTGAAGTTATGGAGCAGCCTTCCAAGGGGAGCAGTGGGGGCAAAAACTGGCTTCAAGACTGATCTTGATAAATGTATGGAGGGGGTGGTATGATGAGACTGCCTACAATAGCATGTAACTGATCTGCAACTGCTAGCTGCAAATATCTCCAACAGCCGGTGATGGGACACTGGATGGGGAGGGCTCTGAGTTACAACAGAGAATTCTTTCCCAGATGTCTGGCTGCTGAGTCTTGCCCACAAGCTCAGGGTCTAACTGATCACCATATCTGGGATTGGGAAGGAATTTTCCTCCAGGTCAGATTAGCAGAGACCCTGGGATTCTTTTTTTCTTTTTTTTTTTTGCCTTCCTCTGCAGCACAGGGCATGGGTCACTTGCAGGTTTAAATTGGTGTAAATGGTGGATTCTCTGTAACTTGAAGTCTTTAAACCATGATTTGAGGACTTCAGTAACTCAGCCAGAGGTTAGGGGTCTATTACAGGAGTGGGTGGGTGAAGTTCTGTGGCCTGCAATGTGCAGGAGCTCAGACTAGATGATGATGATGGTCCCTTCTGACCTTAAAATCTATGAGTCTAGGTTTTCTGTCTCTCTTTTAGAAATCCTTGAGTCCTTAGTCCAGACTCTGACAACATGCAGTGGTAGGTCTTAACTTTATTTGGCTCTCTGGTCTGTCTGGTTGAGATCTCAGCAAGAAAGAGTTTAGACATCAGCTAAGTAACAATAATGGTTATTTCAGTAACCAAGTGGGCTAAACTTAGAATGTGCCTAGCTACATGCAAACTACATATGTTGGACAAGACGCCCTTTGGAACAGGGAATACATCTTCTATCTATTGCTGTGTGCGATGTGGGAGGTTTACAGTGCCTCCTTTGAGATGTTAAATACTCTCCACTCCCATTGGCTTTGTTGAGAATTGAGGATGCTCAGCATCTCAAAGGAAGCACTTAGCTTCTCCCAGAGATCTAACATTAAACTTTTAAAGAGACACTAAATACTAGAGCAGCGTTTCTCAAACTGGGATCTGTGGACCCCTGGGGGGCCCCAAGGGGGTCCACGGGCCCCGCTGATCAATTTCTCCCCCTCCCTCCCTCCACCTCCTCCATGCCTCCAGTGCCTCCTGCATGACAGAAGTTTGGCAGCGCAGTGGGGATAAGGCAGGCTTCCTACCTGCCCTGGCTCTGCGCTGGTCCCAGAAGCGGCCGATATGTCCCTGAGGCTCTGGTGGGGCAGAGGGTCTCTGCGTGCTGCCCCTATCATGAGCGCCAACTCTGCAACTCCCATTGGCCAGAAACTGCAGCCAATGGGAGCTGCAGGGGCAGTGCCTGAGGGCAGGGGCAGTGCACGGAGACCCTCCTGGCCCCCTCCATCTCTTTTGGGGGCAGCCTGAGGTATGCGTCACCCAGTCGGAGACCTCACCCACTCCCACACCCCTACTACCTGCCCCAGCTCAGAGTCCACACCCAAACTCCCTCCCAGAGTCTGCACCCCCTCCTGAACCCCAACCCCGTGCCCCCGCCTGGTGAAAGTGAGTGAGGGTGGGGGAGAGCGAGCGACAGAGGAAGGGTGGATGGAGTGAGCAGGGGGCATGGCCTTGGAGAAGGGGCAGGGCAAGGGCTGAGTGGGGAGGCTTGGGAAGGGCCCCAACATTTTTTAAATCAAATGAGGGTCCTCGTTGCTAAAGTTTGAGAACCGCTGCACTAGAGTCTTGAGATCTCCCTGCTATAAAAAACTAAGTTCAAAAGACAAACATTTTCAGAGGAGGTTTGGGCTTTACCTTGGTTAATAGATTGATGGGTGTTGGAGACATCATTCTTGGCCACCTTTAGTGATGTGGCTCAAAAGGTTATGGATATTTTGATATGAATATGGGCCAAAGACAGTAACTGTGGCTCAGGGATTACAGCTCATTAAAAATAGTTTACAGTTGTGGCTGTTAAAATGTTTACAAATGCCTTTACAAATACTTAACATTATTATAGGATTCTTGGTGATCACTATGCTAAGTATATAGACTACCACAAATACTGAGGTGTTTATGTGCTTTGCCAAGGCAAACTGGAAGATTGGAATGGTACCCATTCTTATATAATTAAGAAGCTTAGCCTTGGGATTTATGCACACACTAATTAGAAGGCAGAGTTTACGTTCCTCCCACAAAAGGAAACAAAGCAATAAATGTGTACGAGTGCAGAATAGCACAAACTTTGGGGGACTTTTTGTTCAAAATATGGAGCTATTTAGTATAACAAAAGGCAATTTAGGAGAGAGATGCTATCGCTTCAAAATGAAAAGTTATTCGTACAAAACTTAGAGAAGGAAAAAAAATTCTTAACAAACCTGTTTTTTGGGGTCGCTGGCAGCCTTCACTTTTTCAGCAACATCTCCCAGAATTTTGATAAGTTTCCTCTCCTTAGAAAACTCATCATTTAAGGTTTTTCCTGCGCAGAATTGGACAGCAGCTAGTAGTTTCTGATACCAGCTTTTGAAATGAGCTTCATTCTGTGCATCCTTTAACAGCCTGAAGGGAGGATGGAGAAAAAAGTTTTGTACCTAAAACTAATTTTTTTTATACCACCTCTAACAAGAACAATGACGTACTCCAGACTAATCTGTATTTGGTGGCTTTGGGCAGTTTAACAGGAGAGAATGAAAAAAATGTTGTTTATTTGTTGGCAGTAGTCAAGTTCCATCTGATAACTAATGAGATTCCAAGAGTGTAAAATCGATAGGAACCTATTTCTTATTGCCATCCACAGAGCAGTTCCTGACTTGCTTCTTATTTCTAAAAGAAACATTTGTCAGAGGAATGTATTTTCTACTTTCTTTTGTCCAGTTTTATACATACACCGCTACCCCGATATAACGTGACCCGATATAACACGAATTCGGATATAACGCGGTAAAGCAGTGCTCCGGGGGGGGGGGAGAGGCTGCACACTCCGGTGGATCAAAGCAAGTTCAATATAACACAGTTTCAACTATAATGCGGTAAGATTTTTTGGCTCCCGAGGACAGCGTTATATCGAGATAGAGGTGTATATACAAAATATCCACCCCAGCAACTGCACACGTGCACACACAGACCTTGCATACAGTGGATACATTTTAAAAGTTCATATTGGTCTTATGGGTGCTATAGTTTCAGCTGTATTCACCATTTTTAAGTGCAGGAATATTCCTGAAATCCATAAACCTCTAAACTCCTAGTTAACTTTTTATGTGCATCCACTGCACCCATCTCTTCTTTGTCAGAGGTGGATCCGGACTAAAAACCCAGTTCTGATTCTGATGAACTTTGGGGAAGTTTTATGGCTTGAGACATTGTCAACATGTATTGACTAGGGGGTGCGGTAAAGGAAAAAGTATATTAATCTTCTGAGCCTCATCCAATTTTCTCCTCCATCCACAGCCCTGTCCACATAGGGAAAAAATATGCTTTTTTCAATTGATTTTATTTAACTCTATTGGAAACCCTCCCGCCCCCGCACCTTTAACTTCCAAGTAGACACAGTTCAACACCTTTAAGATCATTTGAGCTGATCTTGGTGTATACTAGTTTGACTGAAAAGAAGTCATCTTTTTGTTGGTCTGCGTAGATATAGGGCTAATTTGTCATCAGCTTTCTGCCCATCTCCTGATTTGTTCTTCTCCCCTTCCATAAGCAGCATTAGACCACTCCCAGTCTCATGATCCTCCCACAACCCGACCCCCCCAAAACCTCACTCTGCCAGTAACCCTGCCTGATCCCCAAACTAGCTTCCCCAGCTGACCTGGCCACTGAACCCTAAGAACAGCTTTAATTATCTGAGGTTATCCACCTGAAACCTATCCAGTTTTTTAAGGGTTAAAGGAAACAACATGCATACACATATTAATATGACACACATTAGCAGAGAAAATATTTTACTGCACAGATGTCAGAACATGAGTTGGGGCTCCCCTACACCCCTTAGCTCTGCCCCTTTTTGTCAATGCATTACAATAAAGCTACCACAGCCAAGCATTTATATATTTTGTGCCTGAAATCTCTGTTCTGATTTAATTGAATAAAAGTAGAGTGTAAGGATTTTACATATTTTTCCCTGCTGACCTTTTGTTCTCTTTGTGGTCTTTTATGAAGACAATTGCTCCCCCGGAGCTTCCTCTGCCACCCAGACAAAGTGACAATTCAATACAGAATAATATCACCTGCTGGTTTCTGACAAACTTTCCCAATAGCATAAAGAATCTGAATTTTTACAGGTTTGTAAGCACTGCAAACACTGAAAGTACCTGTAGTGTTCTGCTAGTAATGCCTAGACATGTAAGAGAGGAGATACAAGTAAGTTAGTTTGTCATCTTCTCTCCCCCTAGGAGTTGGAAATGACACTTCTTACTATAGTCTATTGCAAACAAATAATTATATTCTGGGCTGAACGAGAATATGAATTGTCAGTGCACTGTCTTGTGGGAGATAAATTCCAGCATACAGACAGACTCCACACTCTTAGTGGCAGAGCTTCTGTTGCCATCCTCACTCACTCTAATAGCTAAACACATCACTTCTAGCTTACCTAACTCACAGGAGGTGAAATTCACCCTTTCCACAAAGCCAGAGTAAATAGCTTTTGTGTGAGTAACAATACGGGGCTGAAGCAGGGTACTATTTACTCCTGCAGGTATGCTCTTTGGGGCTGCTATTCCTACCTAGGATCATGCCCCCCCTGCATGCAGTTCAGCCCACTAAATCTGTGTAATCACAAGGGGCTGTTCCTACCCGCTCTGCACTAGCCTATTCAGAGTGAGTATAGAGCCCTCGTCACATGATGTGCAAAGGTCTCTCTGCATGACTGCACTGCCAGGGCCACGAAAGTACCACGGGGTAAAGGGGCTGTGTAAATCTTCTATCATCCCTCTGCAACAGGGTGAGTTTCAACCATATTTCTCGGATGTTGTTCATTATCTTCCATGACATTTTCTTAAAAAGAAAATGTGTTCCATCCACTGTGTGGGGGTAATCACTTGATGTGATGAAAGTACAGACGCAACACCATGGTTAAAGTGTTCCATAAAAAGACCATGCCACTTTGGCTCTCTGAATTGAATGTTTAAATTTGTAGAAGTACCGTTCACATTTCCTGTAGCAACAGAAAATGATCTCAGCTCAGAGATGACTAGAATATATACCCATTACATACAAAAAAGTTGCGAAGAGAATGTCAACGTTGCAAAGTCAAACACTCAAAAGTTAGGAAATGCCAGAATTAAGGATGCCTGTTCAACCTTTAATTTTGGCTCCCTCATGCATATGCATTCTGATAGTGTCTTTAATTACATCATTACATACTATTTTCCCCCCACAGAACAACTTCTGTCAGGAACTGTGGGCTTTAGTTCCCTCAACTCAGCCTGGGGCTAGCCGGCTCAGCCCTCAGCCTGATTAATGAGGCCAGCTGGGTGGCTGCAGAATCACTTGACTGACTGGCCCGCAAGATTGGATACAAGGAGCCAACAGATCTGCATTTCAGCTCAGGCCCCTGACACTTGCTTCATTCAGTGCACAGGAGAATAAGTGCTCGTTCACTGATCCTCATGCAATATTTTGTTTTTTCCTCATTGTTCAAAGGCCTTATTTACTGCACACTATTCAAATCCTGCTCTGTAAAACAGAACTATTAATTTCCACAGAGGTTTTTCTCTGGTGCTCATCACTATAGTATGTAAGTGCTTCACAAACATTAATTAATTTATCTTCCAAAATGCCTGTGAGGTAAGGTGGTATTATTATTCCCATTTTACCAACTGGGAACAGAGGCTGAGAGGCATTAATTTCCAAAGTGTCTGATAATTTTGAATGTCCTATTCGAGATGCCTAAGGCCTGATTTTTCAGAGAAATTAGCATTTTATAGCACTTTATTTGTTCAGCGCACAGCTCCCATTGACTTCAGTTGCAATTATGAATGCTCAACACTTTTGCAAATCTCAAGTCAGGTGTCTCGAGTCAGGCACCCAGAAAATGAGAAACACAACTACTAAATGTGTTTGGTTTCAGTAACTTGCCCAGCATTCCATAGGAACTCCAGGGCAGAGGTAGGGATAGAATCCAGTTCTCCAGCGTAACATTCAACTGCCTTAACCATGAGACTGTCACCTCTCTTTTTGCAGTCCGCTGCCCCAGTACCTCAACTAGTACACACATTCCAACTAATACGACAAATGAGGAAGGAGTCCTCCTTTTAATACTTGACTCAGAGGACCGGCTCTAGGTTTTTTTGCTGCCCCAAGCAAAAAAAAAAAAGAACAAAACAAAAAAACCTCCGGGAGGGCAACTGCCGAAGTGTCAGGAATGCCACCTCTGAAATTGTGCCACCCCAAGCACGTGCTTGGTTTGCTGGTGCCTAGAGCAGGCCCTGTTAACTCATTCCCTGAGCACGGTCCATCCTGGGCACTGAAGGAGGCTGGGGCCATTTGGAAAAAAATAGTCTGTGAGAGAGTTTAAGGATTTCTAAATTAGTGTAATCTACATGCTGAATGGGCTGGAGCACTACAACTCATACCATTTTAGAATTCTTTATACCCACTTATACTTGTTTCTGAATTTGGCCCTGAGAGCATAAATCATATGAATTCAGCTCTCTTTTTCTTATGGTATCAATTTAAAGAAACTATGAAGGCTACCTCCTCCTGTATGAAATATTCCTTTTAGGATTCAGTGACTTTTCTTCTTAAATACACAGTACTGAGATGCTTTTCCTGGTTCCAATGAATTCCAAACTATGGATTCATTAAAGGAAAGGTAACTTTTTCTATTTTAAATAGAGAGACTTCCTGTATAGGAAAGATCAACCTATTTGATCCATTTTTAGTTTATCGTTATGGCCAAGCTCCAGGAGAAGTAAACTCTAATAATCTTAGCACATGCATGTACTTGATAAATGTTTCCTTTTAAGTTGAAAAGGGGTTTAGGACCAGATTCCAGCTGCTCATGCATAAGCCGGAGGTGGGGGGAGGGACACAGAGGAGAGGGGAAGAGTCAAAAATTTTGATACTTGTGTTTCGTGAGCCCAAGCTGTGCAGGAAGGTGGAGCAGCTGTCACGATCATGCAGTCCACTTCTGCAACAGCTGGAGGCCAGTACTGGAGGAGAACACATGCTGCACAGTTTCAGCACACGGCAGTTGCAGAAATGGAGTGTGTCCCTCTTTACAGTATCTCTTCAGAGAGATTCTGTCCACCTCAGTGCTCTGCTGACAAAATACATCCAGGAACTGCAGCTCAGGCAATGCGACTCCCTGCCACTCACTCCTCACAGACGTGCTTTTAAAAGCCACTGTATTGACCTTAATTTGCAAAATGATTCGAATTAACTAGATTTGACTTTCAGCTTCATTTTATAAAAACAAAACAAGGTGGATATCAAAGGTCAGCCTTTAATGTAATGACTCATTCTGGGTTTTGCTGTAGTGTTTACTCTGCAACTGAACAAATAAGCATTTGCAATTCTGTCTTCACTGTCACCTGGCCCACACATCCACTGCA